ATGCTTACAAAACATTTCACTCAATTTCTACGATCTCTAAACTGCTATTAACGTCACCAGAAAGTCCTCTTCTACAAATAAACAAAAAAAATAAAGTGGCACAACAAACTTTTATTCCAGAATGACCACAATAAAAAGATAACAAGTGAAATGTAGTGAAACGAACATCTTGGAATTACACCAAAAGATCTGGATAAATTATAATAAATGTAAGAATATCAATTCATGCATTTTAATACGGAACAATTTCACAAACTAAGATAACAAATTAACAAAATGAGAAAATGCTGTGCACAAAATCCACAAAATCATTTGCTAAACAAATAATGACAACAACTTTTATATTTTAGTATGCCGAAAAAAAAAAAACGAAAAAATCTAACGCATTCAGAATACGTCTTCCGGTGCGTCGAGATCCTTGTAAGAAATTGGTTCACGAGGTTCCCGCCTGCCTGAAGGCTGTTCGTAATACCTTGGAGGGCCACGGTTTTCATAACCACGGCTCCCATAAGAACCCCCATAACGTCCGCCACCGTTATAACCACGGTTCCGGTCGCTATACCCTCCGGAACGACCACTGAATCTGCGGTCTTCAAAAGCTAAAACAAATCATACCTACAAGAAAGAAGACCTAATGGAAAAAAAATCTACACGAATCACTGACTTTCTCGCTCTCTACGTTCCTCCCTTTGAGTGGTTGCGGGCTGTGGAGCAGGTTGCGGCTTCACTTCAGCAGGTTGAGGACGTTTGGGATCGGCCAAATAATTATTGAAAAAAATAGTCTGAACAAAATTCACATATCAAAACATGGTTAAATTAGCGCATAATGACAGGGAATGTTACACAGTTCAACCAATTCTAGTTTTACAAAAGCAGACCTCTTGTCTCACTTGATCGAGTTTTTCTTGGTGTTTCGAAGTCAAGTGCTTTCTTATAAATTCTGGTCCTTTAAATTTCTTTCCAGAAAGAGGACAAAGCCACTTATCTTTTGCCAGTTCTACCGAATTTGCTTGGATAAAACTTTCAACCTCTCTAAAAATTTGAAAGAAAAACATAAAAATTAAGTGCGGAATACTACTTAAATCAAAAAATAAAAAGTTTCTACTGACAATTCATAAAACAATAATGCTTTTTTGTCGGAAAACGAGTAGGAACCTTCCGTTCAGAAACTGCATTTTATTATGCAAGTAACCTGAATCAGTAGTTCTTTTAAGAAAAA